CATACCTCTCCAGTTCAGAGAGAAGGATGTTGTGGGGGAGCGTGTCAAAGGCCTTACAGCGGTCCAGAGAGACGACATCTGTAGCCCTTCCCATGTCCACTGATGTCATCACTCCATCATAGAAGGCCACTAGGTTAGTCAGGCAGGACTTGCCCTTGGTGAAGCCATGCTGGCTGTCTCCAGTCACCTGCCTGTCCTCCATGTGCCTCAACGTAGCTTCCAGGAGGATCTGTTCCATGATCTTCCCAGGGACAGACGTGAGACTGACTGGCCTGTAGTTCCCCGGGTCTTCCTTTTTTTCCCTTTTTAAAAATGGGGCTTATGTTTCCCCTTTTCCAGTCAGTGGGAACTTCTCTGGACTGCCACGACTTCTCAAATACGATGGATAGTGGCTTAGCAGCTTCATCCGCCAGTTCCTTCAGGACCCACGGATGGATCTCATCAGGTCCCATGGGCTTGTGCACCTTCAGGTTCCTTAGATGGTCTCGAACCTGATGTTCTCCCACAGTGGGTGGCTCTTCATTCTCCCAGTTCCCGCCTTTGTCTTCTGCGGTTTGGGCGGTGGGGCTCGAGCACTTTATCCGTGTGTGCATGTTTGTATGCATACAGTATGACAGTTCAGCTTGGAAATTTGCCCTCCCAGCGCAGGGAGCGTCAGCTTCTTTTAAAGGGTCTGGATAGCTGCTACCTAAACACCAGCATTATACTATCTCTTCAGAAGACTGGCTTGTTCTTTCTGTCAAGAGTGATAAGCATTCACCCTGCAGTTGACTTCTAGTAAAGCTAGGCAGAGCTTCAGTAAATCTGTGAATCTTCTAAAAAATTGACATTATAAATAAAATTTCGTTGGAAGTAAGTTGTAAGTAGTGGGGTTTGAATTTAAATACCTGAGCTAGTTCCATACTGACCAGCTGCATAGTCATATTTGTTTGGTGTTTGGACTTTCTTTGCTTTTAATAGTTGATTTTGATGTGTTAAAGGAACTTTATTTAATGTTTTCATTTTTGTCTGGGAGTTATGCTGCTAAAGTCCCTTTAAGAAGTGTGAAGTTAGGGAAAGTTTTATTTACAGTCAGCCTAAAGGGAACCATGCTGATGATTAGATCCCTTTGATTGTCTTGAAATCCGGAAGACTATAAACGCTCATCTGAAGTATACACGAATTGGGCCAGTATCTGTTGTACTTACTGCAGTGTACCAAGTTGTGTGCGCGTTTTCAGAAATCCTATTAAAATACCAAATGAGATTTGAATCTCTGTAGCCATATGCTAAATTGCAAAACTAGAGCGTAGGACAAAAGGTCACTGTTTTATCTATTAGAGTTATAGAACTTTCTTTGTTAATTATGCATTCATCCAACTCTGAATATGTATCCTGCTATCTAGTTTAATTAAGTTTTGTTAAGTCATTTAGAGTGCTTGTCCCATATTTAGAACTTAAACTTTTTTGAATAATGCCACTAAGCATACTGATTTTTTGACAAAAAAAGACATGGTTAAATGTTATCTTCTGTGTGCGTGTCTTCCTGTTGCTTGTAGTGCTCTGCAGAAGTTTTAAAATGTATTTCTGAGGGCATGAATATGAGGAGTCGTCTTTGTGTATTGAAATGTAGATTTATAATGAGAGCTCATGTCTTTTTTAGTTAATTGTTGTATTTCCCAGGTTTTTTTAGATTGGTGTCCCTCTCCTTGTCTCTCCTCCCCACCTCCCAAGCAGTTTGTCTACTGCATTTACTTATTATGAGTCAACAAAATCTTCTCAGCTGTGGCCAACATTATTTTTTTTATTTATTGTAGCACTGTTCTTCAGCATTTTAGCTGTGTGGATTGTATGGTTAATATCATCTAATAAAGCACTTTTTCAGGTTAAAGAGAATTGAATCACTTGCAATCCAGTTTTTGAATTGCAGCACTTTAATTAAACACGTAAGTATGTAGACGAGTGTAATTTTTTCCAGCCTCAAACACCAAGAAAAAAGTCAGTATAGCTTCTCCATCTCTTGCTAAGAAACTTTAGTTAGGAAGAAAATAGAATTTCATCTCAATGTTCCATTAAACTTATAATAAAATAGGAAGAATTAAATTATTCTGATGATCACAATTTACATCTATGAAACAGTCTCTCCTTAGAGCTATGATTTTGCTTTTGGGCAGCCTGATGTCTTGCTCTCAGAAAAGAATCGAAGCTGCTTTAGGTAGGAGCCTTATTTTATGTTATTTTTCATTGTTTATAGGATTTTTAAAACTTTTTTGTCAGAAAGCTGATTTTTCTGAATCCCATGCCTAAGATAGAAAGATGAAATCTAAATAGTCCCTTTAGAGAAATGAGAGCTGTAGGCAAGCTTTCCCTGTCCTCCATATTAAAAGCTAAAAAAGGGCTCTCTGCAAATATGGTGTTCGATCTCTGCTTGTTTTTTAAATGTCAAACTGCAAGACGAGTTTATTTAAATACTTTCTTAGTGTTACTTGTTGACATAGCAGTTGTCTGAGTTCCCATCAGGGTGTCATTTGATCACTGGTAGGAAAGACGTAAATTAGACAACAAAAAAAGAAAAGTTGAGAACCTTAGAGCTGGAACAGTTTTGGGGGCCTATAAATAGTTGTCATCATCAGTTTCACACTCCTGGGACTTGGCTGAAACATGCTTTCCATATTGAATAGAGACTAGATTGAATTAAATTTATATAATCTTTGTTGACTGCATTGCAGCATTGTGAAGGTCCAAAGCTATTGTGGCTCAGTTCAGTCAGGTTTTCACTTCCTTGCTTTTTAGATTGCCCTGCATATATGTATATACATGCGCATACACTCATCTATTTATATACATAGATCAAGTGTGTATGTATATATGGGTATATGAGTGCACTTATTGTGCCGATATAGGTTACAGTATAACCTGAATCTTGCTGCCTTTTTCATACTCCTGGTGAATCCGCCAGCGCAGGTGAAGTTTTGCCTGCTGCGTTTTGCATGACATCAGCCCCAAAATCCCACCAGCCCCACAGATGCTCTTGTGGCTGACTTTAGCTGCAGCACAGGCTTTCCAAACAACCCTTGTCTCCCCCCCACTACTGAATTATCAGTCCTGCATGCTAAGCCAGATTTATTCTAGTAACGTGATCATGCCTGCATGGAGAAAATGTCAATCTGGGATCTCTCTTTTTTTATATATTAAATTTCCTGATTTTAAAACAGAATTGTGGTTAGATAGTTCAAAGAATTGTTTGAATGCTCTTGATTTCTGTGGTAAAAATTGTTAGTAATCAGTTTCTGAAGTTTCCCTCTCTTTTTATTTAAAGGGAAGAATAAAAGTAAACTTGCCCCAAATGTTTGGTGTGCCTGTTGACCTGTGTGTGACTTGATGGGGAAAAAGGGACACTTTTTTGGTCTTGCAACTGTTTTGATCTAGGGAAGAAATAGCGTTGCTTGGCTGTGGAAAATTACATGTTCAGTTGTGTAAAATGAGGTTGTATTCATCTCTCCCTGTTCTGTTACAAAGCCTGCATTTTTCTTGGAAGTAGTGGAGAATTTCACAGGGGGAGAAGAAAGTGATCTCAAGAACCAAAAGTGCACAAAATTAAAATAGAGAAGGAAAATGACGCTTTAAAGGGTGATAGTTGCATCTGAATTGAGAGATGAGTAACAGTATTTGAAAGAAAAATGCTCTAATGTTGGCTAAACTGGACTACTAGCCCACATTATAACTTGACAGCAATAGGCTTTTAAACAATAAAGATCATTTTTATTTCATCAAGCTAAAACTTATTTCATATCTAGTTAAAATGTATCAAGCTTTGTAGAAACTACAAATATTGCTTTGGAGACTTAAAGTGGTGTGAATATCATATTAATTATTTGTTTTCCATGTGTTCTTGTTTACAGACTAGTCTTTCCATATGGGGATGGGGAAGTCTTGGCGTTGTGCTTTTTCTAGTAACTTTTGGACCCTTCGCTATATTTTACTTTGCATTTTATATCCTCTGCTTTGTGGGTGGGTAAGTATACTACTTAGTGTTTTGTATGATTTACTATGAAAGTAAAATTTTAATGTGTATATTAGCAAATAGTTTGCTCTGAAAATCTGAAGTGAATTCTATATAATTAATATTTCCACATTTGAGCAGCTCTTTATGTGCAAAATTTTTTTTCTTGAAATCTAAATTTTATCAAAAGTAATTTTTTGTTGTTGTTGAATAGTGCTTATACTACCTATGCCCAGGTAAAAAAAAAAGGAGATTTCTGATTAAAAAAAAAAAAAGTAGCTATTTATAACGGGTGTTGGAGGATAAATACTCGCATAAAACCAATGTTTGCTTCAGTTCATACTTCTATTACTGTGTCAGTTCTTTTCCCTGGTACTTACTAAGTAATTATGTCCCCTTTCCTTATCACAATCTCATTTTCCTACCTAAGATACTTCATTCATGAGGAAAGTGAGTGTTTTCCTGGGTGTGTGGAAATGATGCTGCATCTTGTGACATCTTGAACAAGTAGATCAGTTCAGCAGCTGTAGACATTTCATACTTTATCTGTATAGACAGGAAGGGAGCAAACAGGTGATCTTTTTATAGTCTTTAGCACCATTATTACTGTGTGTATTATAATGTCTGCCTTATAACCATTAAAACTTATTTTTAATGCCAAGTGTAAATGTATTACTGGGGTATTCCTCCTTCTTCTCACTCATAAGACTAATCTGCAGGACAGTAACATTTCTAAGGTCTCCAAGACCTGCTTGGCTTCTGATGGGATGTTTGGGCTGTCTTTAATGTTTCGTTTTCTTTTTTTTCCTTCCTTTGAAACACACTTTTAACCTGCTTATTGGATACAGTACAGAATATATGTATATTCCTGTATGTCTCATCGAAAAATGTAATAGAGTTTAGTGGCTAGAATTAGAGTTACTATGCTTAGGTTTCAACTGTATTAAACCTGGAATTCCATCTCTGAGAAATCAGAATAGTCAGTCTACTAGAGCAAGGATTTTGTTAAAGTAAAACTAACTTTTCAGTAAATGCTTTTGTCTTGTTAAGTCTTGATACAAGTATGATTGGCATATTTTGCTGGCTGTTTGTCCAGGGCAAAAGGCAGAGTTCGTCCAAAGGGCAAGAGTTTGTCCATTTACTGTTTTGTATTACTACTTCCTTAGTATTTGCAGTGTGAAAAATAATATGGGATATAATTTCTTAAAAACTTATCCCTCCTTCCTGCTCAATTTCAGTTACTTGGCTTTTCAAAGCTAGCAGTCAAAGCAGTCTCTCATGGAGTATGTCTGAAGTCAGCTACAGTTTGCTGCTGTGAGACTGCCGCTGGTGCCTGAGCTTGCTCATTCTCAAGTCAGCTCTGTATCTCTTTGCTGTGATTCTTTGGCTGCTGTGGTTCATTTTTATAGCTAGTCAGTGAACATTGATCTTCTTAAGGATAAATTCATTTTGTGGTAGTGTATCTGTTAAAGCAGAATTTGTATCCATCTTCCTATTATGTGTTTACTTATGTAGACAGATATGAAGTCTCAGCCCTTCCAGTAGAATGTCATTACTTCATTACTTTAACATACACATCTTCTTGGCTAAGGCTGTGATCTGGCCCTTTTTTACACTGTTAATCTTTTTCAAAGTGACTCACCTACTTGAACATTCAGCATACAGGTCCGTGAGTGCTAACTAGGTCAAATAGATTTATGTCTGAATTATTCTTGCCTGCTTTTCCTTTTTGAATTAATTCCTGTGAAGTTACGTAAAGTACTTGGTCCTGTTTCTCTTAGAAATAAACAGAAATTAATGTTATGAAATAACTTTTTCACTTATGATTAGCAATTATGTATCATAACATCATTTATATAAATTAAAAAAATAATCTAATTTTGGTTCATGATTATGGTGGTTTCCTTAATACTTACTGTACCCTTATCTGGAGCAAAATAACAGTTTTGGACATGGATTTTTATGGTAGAACTTTATGTTGAAACTTGGAGTTCTTATCCAATTTGGCATGCAGTTTTCTAACTTTTTATACTTGCTCAAAAACAGTGGCCTGTATCAATAGTTTCTGACTTCTGCTAGCTGGGAGTCCACTTCTATCCCATTTTGCAGTTCAAACAAAAGAAAATGTTGAATTGTAGCTGGTTGCACCCTTAGTATTGACCTAAGCATTTAAAGTATATGCCAGTAAGTTGTGAAGGAAGACAGTGTTGGTGCCATAGCTGTATCAACATAATCTGTTTATACGGTTTCACTTCTGTTATGTGCTTTCTAATTATTTCTTTCTGATTTACTCTTAACTGTGCATTTCCTCTTACACAGATAGCTTGTAGTAAGTGCACTGTTGTGTGCATGGAAGGATACTGAAACCATTTGTGTGTATGAATAAAAGCTTTAAATCAAAAGTTGTCTTTAAATTTGTTTTGTTTTAAGAGTGATTTATAAAGTGTTAGCTTTTTTCTTGTTTTGTAGTACATCCCTCTTCAATTCAGGATCTGGTAACTCATTGCTTAGGGAATTGAGCTCTTTCCACCAAAAGCAGGAGACAAAAGATAGATATTGTTTCTTTAACCTGTGTAGCCAAGACTATTACAAGGTGTTAATCTTCATGAAATATTTTTTGCCTCTACTTTAAGTATTGGTGCGGACCCCTTAACTTGAGTGCTGGGCCTGTCTTATCCTCTGCCTTTTCTTTGTACCATGTATGTTTCTTACCTTATTTTCTCTCCTTCCCTCTTTCAATCCTAAGGAGGTAAAATAAAAATAATGTGAATTGTGGCTCTGCCAACAGCCTTAGGCTTTTGGTGTTGAGACTTCAAATTTCTTGGACCATCAATTGCTTTGCCATTTAAAGGAATTTGCTCTGTCGTCAAAAACATAATTATCAGTATTTAATCACATTCATAGATATGTGACTGGCTGCCTACATTGATGATTCTAACTGCTGACCAAATCGGGAACGGTTCTGAAGCTGCTTTTTGACTTTCACAAGGCATTCAGCTGAGGCTGTTACTTTTCAGACTTGAAGGGAAAATGCTAAATCTGCAGTCTTCATTGTTCTATCTTTCACCTTTGTTCTGTTGTTGATTTGCCCCTGTGAAAAGCTGTCCTTCTAAAAAATCTTTGGAAAAACTTAACAACAAAAATTTAAGTAAAATACAATCTCTTCCTTTTTCTGTTCTATTCATTTAGAGAAAAGACTGAAATGATTTCTCATTTACTGTATTGAATATCCTCTTGATGAATTAGATAAGCATTTATGCTGGAAGTTTCTGGTTAGCTAACAGATGCACTGAATGGTCAGGCTATGTATCCTTCTCTAATGCACACAAGATTTTAAATTAGAATAAAATGTATTAATTTCTGTATAGAAGCAGAAGCTCCTAGCATTTTTAGGTTAAAAATGAAAATACTTAAAAGCATCGAGAAGATGAGCATATATTTAAACTATATTGGTAGCATATTAGTATTTTTGAATGAGTCGTTAACTTTAAAAGTGTCATAACATTTGAGAGAAAACAGATGTATAATCTATAGCTAGTTATTTCCAAGGCTTCAGTCCTTTTGAATAAAAGAAGAGAAGCACCTCTCCCTTCCTTGCCTTCCCAAGTTGCTCATACATGTTTGAAGTTAAAACTGATTTTTGGCCCCCCAAAAAAATGCCTTTTGGGCATACTGTTTTCTTTAAAAGAAGACTGAGGTTTCTAGTAGAAAAGTGGTAGATAATAAAACTTTTTAATAATTAAAAAACCGCAACACCCCCCAAACCAAAACATTAGTTAACTTTTAAGCATAGTGAACCTAATATTGAGATTTTTCTAAGCAAGTTTTTGTCCTTGAACTGAATTATGATGCTTCTAGCACCATTGGTGTTATGATTTTAAAGCTATCTGGAAGTACCTGGAGCAGAAGAGCAATGAAATCTGCTTTTATTTTTTTTCTCATACATAGAAAGTACATGTGGTTGGCAGATAAAGATGGCTGTAAGGGAATATCAAGTGAAATTTTCTTATGCGTTACCAAGTTACTGATAATAATTTTGTGTAGCTTTTCTTTCTTTTTTTTTTTTTTGTCCTGGGGTTGTGCAAGTATAAATGACCGCCTCCCTGCTTCTGAATTACTGAGCCTCCGGAGTACTTAAAAAGAACGTTTCCCAGTTTGGGAATTAAAACCTTCAAATGGCATATTTTACCTTGGTTAGGAATTTTATTCTAATCATGTAAGAGTTTCATATATCAACAGCAATCTATATTAAAAGAATGTATTATTTCAGCATGTTTCAAGCCTGGAATAACTTTGTGAGTTCCTGTGGTCACAAATGTTGGTCAGCTGGCCTTTAAAATGAATGCTTTGAAATTTCTGTAAAAAGCTATGCGTGTTTAGCCATCCCAAGGCTAGGCTGAGCAGCAGTAACTTCATATTCTCTTTTTTTTTTTCTTTTAATGCTTGACTTTTCAAAGGCTACATACTTTGGTTATGCTATAATTGGCACAGCTTTTAGTTTTTCATCTATTTCTTGGTAAAACCAACTTTATGTTTGTGTTTTTGTGCCCTAGTGTCATAAGCCGTAAATAAATTACTGCTGTTGTAGCTAGGTTGAACTTTTTGTAATGGTTGCTTTTCCCCTTATGCCTTCATTATATCATAAAGAAAACAGTAATAAAATTAACTGCTGTCCTGCTTAACTATAAGTCATAATTTAAATATCACTGTAGAATTGTGAGGGAAGAAGGTAATGAATTTCTGATCTAACATTCTTTTAAAATAAATGGTCCAGGAGTGCATTTTAGATTTAATATGCTGAATTAATTAAAACCAAACCAACAACCAAAAAAACCCAACACCCCAAAAACCCCAACACCTTGTGTTTGACTTCAGTTATCCTCTAGACTTTTTCCTTGACTCTGTTCTTATGCAGCCTGGCAGGACTACTGTGTTTTGGTGTTGGGGTTTTGTTCCCCCCCCCCTTCTTTTCAGCTTAAAATAAGTTCCCAGTTGAAAATTTTTCTTACTTCTTGTTTAAACACGTGCAATCAGTAGTTAGTAACTACATCAGTTTCTTCCTGGTCTGTGTTTTTGTGACTTATGCCACAATGCAGTGTCCTAAATGTATCTCTAAAGAGTTTGTTTCTTCATAGTGTTGAAGTAAAAGAATCTTTGTATAAATACAACCGGAGCAGCTTATGTATGTACCCTCTTTCTGTGTACTAATATTTGTGAGCACTAGTGTGCCATCACAGGTTCTTCTCATGCAGCAGACTGTGTAGTATAGGCTGTGCTATATAGATCTGCTATGTGCTAAGAATGTATCAAGACTGAACACGAGACTGGGAAACTTCATACTTAGTATTGAGCATATTTGAGTTATTTTGAGCAGCATGCTACACTGTGAAAGAGCATTGTACTAGGAAAGTAAACAGTGAGAATTGTAATATATTGTCATTTTATAACCTGCTGTGAAATATTTTCTAGGAGGGGGGAAAGATGACTTGTTCTAGCTGGTCTTTCTTTTTCCATTTTAGGGGTTTTGTGGTCACTCTACTATTTGGAAAAAGCAACTCAGAAAAATACCTTGAGCAGTGTGAACATTCGTTTCTTCCTTGTACATCAGTTGGGATCCCTAAGGTAAGGAGAGTTTACTGGTCTTAACTTCTAGATCAGATTTTATAACTTCGAAAATTAGAATAACACTAATAATCAGTTTTAATCTAAGAATTTTACCCATTTCTTGAGGTAAGAGAGCCTGCTTTTATGTTTTGAGTCAGCTGCAATGTGCAAGTGAAATGCAAGATTTTTTGTTTTTGAAATACAAGCTTTTTAAGCATGTATGGAAAGTTTGTTTCAAGTATTGTTTCTGGCTTCATTATGAGAAATGAGTAAGATGTAACTGGCTAATATTATCTGTGAGAGAATTACTAAACCATTCCTTTCTAGACTACTTGTGTGTGTTGGGGGTTTTTTTTGGGGGGTAGTGGTATGTCCTTCTTGCTTTTTCTTGCAAGATTGTCATGACTATTTAGGATTCTTCCATCACTGGATCTGTAGTCTCTCCAGTGTTGATTGTTTTGATTGTTTGTGATCAGAAAGTTGCTTGCCTAGCTAAGAAGATTAAACTGTTAATAAAGGTGAGATTTATAGTACTTCAGGGACGTAGAAGTTATCTTTGGCTATCTTTAAGACCAAGCAAAAATCCTGGAAATGCATACATAAATGTGGAGCAGCAGTGGGATCCCCTTTTCAACTCTCTTCTTTTTTTCTGTTTGTTTGATGGACCTAAATTCAGGGTTCCTAATTGAATAAATATGCATCTGTTTAGTGCAGAATGAATTCTTAATAGCCAAGAGGTAGAATTTCTAGGAATTCCTGGTTTATGAACCAATACATTTTGGCAGCTCAGAAGTTTAGATATATCTTGGCCTAATCTGTTTGCACTCATCAAAACAGAGAAAACACTTTAACTCAAAGATTGCTAGCAATGTTATATTTAATCTCACCACTGGTTTGACTGAAACATCCTGCCCTTTCGTAGCTGTCAGGTCACTATGCTTCATGTTGTCTGTGAAGGGGGGTGTGTGTGTTCGACTTTCTTATCAGTAGCACATAGAAGATATTTATTTTGTGATTCAGCAGTTTGTTTTCTAATCACAAAACTTTTTTTGTGACTGGTTCATAGCTCAGTTGGTAAGTGGCCTTTTCACTTAAGTCTCTGAATCTGTTGAGATAAATCTGGAACTTAAGTATATTCTAAACCATAAAGTAACGTCACTGGTCCAAATGAAAAATATAAAGTTTAAGGCTGAAAAAGGGCAAGTCAGCAATCAACTAATGATTCTGTTCCCTTAATGAAACCTCATTTTAGGGGACTAAGGTTCTTGGTGCTATATAGACTTTAGTGCTTATAGTGTGTGGATTGTGGAGTGTTGCTTATGTCTTGTGTTTTGAGAGAAGATTTACAAGAAGTTTTTCTGTCTTTTAAATTTCCTCTACGTCGCTGAAACTTTTTTTATGTTAATGATACTTTTTTGAGGTCAGTACATGTGTATGCTCTGGTTGCCTTATAAAAGAATAAAAAGTTGTGTGGGTTGTTTTTTTGGGGGTTTTTTTGTTTTTGTTTTTGTTTTTCCCTCCTAATCCTTGCAAATTCAGTAGTTTGACTTCTGATTTGAGTGTGGATTATTGACAGATCACTTTTCTCAACTGATCTGTCTTGACTAATCTCTGGATTTAAGTTTTGTAGTACGAAGGTATTTATTTTTAGCTGGCTTGCCAAATACTGTTTGAAGTTGTTCAACTAAAATCTGTTTGTCTTCTACAATAGTGTTTTGTATTTCTCTTTTGCCACTGCTATTAAAATAGCATTAGATAGTTTAGCTGAGCTTTTCAGTAGCAGTGCAAGAAGATAGGAGTCCTAACCAAAACCAAATGTGTGGTTTGCTTGGGATTCCTATTTGCCATTTCTGTATTAAATTTCTGCTGACTTACGCTTATTGGAAAGTAATATTTTTAACTTGAAATTGTTTTAATGTTTAAAGCCATTGTGGCCCTAAGTGGTCTGTCTTGAACAATGAATATTCTTCCAGGTGGCTAGTGTATAGGTTATGCTTCTTCCATGAACCAAGTACAAAACTGAATTCACCTCAGTATTAAATTCTTTTATGATACTGTATTTTGAGAAGTAATCTGATGATATAGGTTCTTCATAAGAAGCTCTTTTCCCCAAAAGCGGTCGGAGTTTTATCAATTGTTTTGAGTGTTTTTTGTTGTTGGGGGATTTTTTAGGCTAAGATGAATGTTCAAATGCTTGATTTTAAAGAAATCGGTTATAATTCAGAGCACCAAAATTGTGGATGGAAATAACATGTAGAATGTACCAGACTCTAAGTTACAACACAGGATTCGGTGCAGATAGGTTTCCTTGGTTGCTGCTTATTATACTTGTTAGCGAATATATAATGAATGCCTCACATTAAGGAGAAATAGTTATGTAAGTTGTTTGATGGAAGATTATTTACCTTTCTGCCCTTTATTTTTGGTTTGGGTTTTTTTCATACACGCAGGGAGGTTTAAAATTAGGATTATACTTGCTTTTCCTTTTGCAAATCTGTTTTATACAACTTTGTATCAGGAATGTACTCGATGCCATAATGTACTGGTTCTGTAAGATACACAATTGTCTGCACGTTTACATTAAAATAATGTTGAATGAAAGGCAAGTTTAGAGCCTTCTGAACTGTTAACTAGAACACTATTTTCAATAAACATTATAGATTCAGTCCACCTTCAACATAAGTGTGGAATGATCAGTTATTATCATAATTGATGTCTCATGCTTCATCCAAAAGACAAGAGTTTCTGTCGGCTGGGTACAGTATTGCCAAATTACTATAAGATAACAGTGATAACAACTTATAAGTGCTAGTTGCGTATTTGATCCCTGACTAGTCTCTGAATGTCTTTTATTTTGAGTCAGTTGGTCATATGCTATGTTATGGATTTGATGCAGACGTGTAAATCCTCTGTGTCTTGTCCACTCATGAAAGCCTGTGACTGCAAGTATGCGATTTGAGAAATAGCGGCACAGTCCAAATGAGGTATTTTTCGTATTTAATAGTTACCTAGCATAGCTTCAAAAAAGGACTCTGAAATATCTATTAATGCAGCAATGCAAAAGTCTGAAGTCTACTCAGTCACTGCAGTTACATGCTTGTGGAGCCTGGGTTTCTTTACTCTGTGCTGCATCTCACTTTGCGGAGTATATGTCCCACGTTCCTCATAAGTGCTTCCTACCTGCTTAAAATGAAGTAAGTAGGTGTCAAATTTAACAATAACAAGTGATATTAATTTTTCCTAACTAATGATTTAATACTGGTAGAGTATGTCAGGCTAATACTGTGTATGAAGTGTCAGTCGAATAGAACAGTTTTCTTCATGTGAGTTGGGTCCTTTCTTTAAGTCTGTCTTCTAAGTCAATGTCTGGAAGGCCAGGCTTAAAGCCGGTAGTGCTTTCCAAGTAAGAGCTATGGTCAGCTGTTGTAGCTGCAATGAAATAAAAGCAGATATTCTAAATCTTAGATGTCTTCAGATGTATCAAAAGCAAATGAAATTATACTGCATGTACATAAACATTTCACTGGAAAAAAAAGAATATGAAAGAACGGTCTAACCTTCTAGTTGGCTCTGCTTTGAGCAGGAGGTTGGCCAAGATGACTTCCTGAAGTCCAGACACACCTGAATCCTATGATCCTATGAACATTCAGATTTTTACCAAGTAACCTTGTGTATTCTCTGTGTGTCCCTCCCTCTCTTCTGGCTGCTGCTTTTTTTGCTGCTGCTTTTTCTTCTATGTTTTCCAAATGTGGTTTTATGCATGCAGTCCTCAAACTTCAAAACTGTCTTTTAACAATTATGTTTGGCAATTTGAACTATGCTGTGCTTAGTAAAAATATTTAATGATTCCATTCTGGGGTTTTTTTTTGGTATTTTTGACACTGTCAAGACAAAAATATTTTGCAAATTCATTACTACATAGCTGGAGTATTTTTTGAATATGAGTCAACTTTATTCATATTAACATAGCATTGAACCGTTCCCTTGTTTTAAAAGTTAAAAAATATACTGAATTTTGCAACAAAATACTTCTGTGTTGTGATACAGAGTTGGGTTAGGTAGGAGGAGGAATGTTTCCTGGAGGAATGTTTCTCAGGTGTTTCTCTGCCATTCACTGTTAACTGGTTTGAATGAGAGATACTTAGGGAGAGTCAGGTAGAATAGAAATGCTGGACATATGGTTTATAATTTTTTGATCTATGGTTTTTGGCAGTTCTTCTCTGTTTCTGGTAGTCATAACTTTCTCTCTAGGTCAAAGAATAAAGTAACTTGATTTTTTCCGAACAATAGTGTAGGTTTGTTGGGTTGTTATTTCTTTGAAAATAAAGGGGTTTATTGCTGATTTCATCTTAAGTTTATAGAAAGACACTGTATTAGCCTTCTCAGAGGAGCACTGATAAAGGGTGTTCTCTTTCAGTATGTCACTTGCCGAAAGTCAGCTCTGATGAAGTCATTCCTGGAGTTAACTGCTCTGAGTTGCAAGTCCTTCTATAAAATAATTTTTTACCCCCTCATCAATCGCTTTTTAAAGGCTTGTCAAGTAGTGATGGTTTTTTAAAAAAAAAAAAAAAAAAAAAAGTAATTTCTCTTCTGGCATAGAGTAAACTGAGATTGATAAACTGAGAGAAGAAAAAACCCAACTGAACAGTTACCTGCCTGAGGTTGCACAAGAAGTTCAATCAAGTATGGAACTGGGGTATTACCCACAAACTATCTTGTGCTGCTGTCGTGTGTGTCCGTCCGCGTCCCGTCCCGTCCCCCCGCCCCCCCTTTATAACTATTTGAGTTTTATTTCCTTCTGATCTAGTATTTTAGCAAACTCACTCCTTTACAGTAAGGAAGAAGTAGGCTTTCAGGTTAGCTCCTCACCATTATTTACTATGTAGTGAAAAACACAGATACTGTTGTTGCCCAGAGAGGTGGTGGATGCCCCATCCCTGGAAACATTCCAGGTCAGGTTGGACGGGGCTCTGAGCAACCTGATCTAGTTGAAGATATCCCTGCCCACGGCAGGGGGGTTGGACTAGATGACCTTTAGAGGTCCCTTCCAGTACAAACCATTTTATGATTATATCTTATCTACCCTATAAACTATAATAGGGAAAATGTTGTATAAAGTCGTTACTGGAGGTATACATATATCATAAATAGTAGAGCTGGTTTTTAATTATAGCTAAAACTTGCAAAGTTACGTTTCCTACTCTCTTTCAAGTGCATAGAAGAAATGAAACGTGAAGCCAGACCTATTAAGATTGACAGAAGACTGACAGGTGCAAATATAATTGATGAGCCTTTGCAACAGGTAAGTTCTAATCAGGACTATTTAACCTATTTTTATTTTTGCAAGTATTGACTATGTAATGTCTAAGTAGTTGAGAGACAAATACAAGGTGAGAAACGTTATCGTATTTGAGAGTGGTAAGTGAAAAAACATTGAGGATGGGCCAGGATATTGGGCAATATTTGAGTCTGTTTTCTGTATGTTACAGTTTCTCAGCATAGCAGTGATGAATGCACGTCAACTATGAAAAAGAGGTTTCAGTCTATGAGTTGTATTGTTTCACTCACAATTTCATAATGGTAGGGGGAGTGGGGTTCACTGCGTTAACCTTTTAAGACTGTTGTTGCATTATCAGGCATAAAAAGCTATTTTATATTTTGTTGTCTTTTGTTCATTAGTTCATCTTTCTTTTTTCCTTTCCAATTTCAGGTAATCCAGTTTTCCCTGAGAGACTATGTGCAGTATTGGTATTACACACTAAGTGATGATGAATCGTTTCTTCTGGAAATCAGGCAGGCTCTTCAGTATGCACTTGTTCAGTTTTCTGCCAGGTAAGATTATTTGTATTTACATCAATACACTGTCTAAGCAAGTGGACAAATACCTCTGTGGGTTTAATGGTGGTAGATAAACGATTAAGTTTATCTATTGGCATAGTTCAGTGCATTTTACAGAAAGAACATGTAAAATTTTAAGATCATGTTCTAAGAACTACAGTCTTTCTCTGATCCCTTGAGGAATGAATGGAGATGATGTTTGTAGTCGTGGTCTTTTGTAAAATGGCCTTTTCGAAATTTTGATTACTGTCTGAAATGACTGAATACTATTTTTCTGCAACTTAAGCATTGAGTTGTATGAATCATCACCTTTTTATATGCAGGTCTGTTTCATATAAATAGCAGGGCTATTCCCAACATAAGTCAGTCTGAAAGCCTTTAATTCAAATATCTGTATCAGCTCAGATAACTTTTAAAAGTGGTCTTGCTCTTCAATATGTACCTTTATACGTATATGTACCTTTATATCCAACTTGTTTATTAAGTAATGATTTCAGGTGTTCCTCCCACTGTGCTGATTGTTACCTGTTTTCCCTTCAGAAGAGGTTGTGAGTCACCTAAATATAATAAACTTCTTAGCAATTTGGTGGTGGTGGTATCCCCTCCCTCTATTGACTTGAAAATGCAGGTCAGTGTGCTTTTCTGGCAAGAAAGGTCAAAGATGGTGAGCTAGGTTTAATGTTAGGAAAAATTCATTATAGTAAAATCTTATTGATTGTGAAATAATGGAAATCCTAGGAAACAGTGTTGGAAATAATGAAAAGTAGGCTAAATAAACAGTATATTACAGCAAGCAATCCTGTGCTTACATGAAACGGACCTGGCTGCCCAACTGTGGTGGTTTTGTCTATCTGGTGAAGCTACTTCATTGAACAGTATCAAGCACTGGGTTTGTGTCAAAGCAGGTCAAGTTATAACCAATTTAGTTATTTTTCCTACAGTACAATAGCTCTTCAAAAATAGCCACTGCTCCTGTGCAGTTGTGTTCTTCTGTACAAATCAAATCAGTTTCACAGGGCTGCAGCAGTTGATTGTTGCTGTTAGGAGAAAATCTGGTGTATTTATAATGATTGTAGTTGGATATAGCTATAGCAGTCTTAGATTAGTACTGTCATCTCTAATTTCATATACCCTGTGAGCTTCTGGAGAGAATGAGTACAGTGGGATTTCCCCCCCCCCCCCCCCCCCCCACCCTGCCCGTCCCCCCCTTGAGAGTTGCACATGTGGAAGAATGATGTAAGGCTGCCACCTAGTGTATTTATATGATTTGTTGATTGTGCAGATGGTGGATCTGGTTGACTGCCCTTTGACACAGCTCCGCTTCTTATTTCCACATCTAGATTTTGCAGTAGGCTTCCCTCTCTTCGAATTCCTTATCCCTTTCTCTCTTTTTGAGGGGAAAAAAGGGCAGGTGAGGGAGTAAATGCAAAAAAGGAAGTGTTGTGGAAGGATTCTGCTATAACAAAGTAGGTATCTGAGAGAATTCAGGTAGTGGAATACTTAGTGCAGAGTAAAAGCCATCACTAACATCTAGCTCATTAAACCTATAACTCACAAGTGCCTTTTTAGTTTGGCTAGTAAGGCATGGACATCACAAGAAAATCTCTGCATCTTTTTCATACCACTAATGAAATGGTTTTATGCAAATCTAACAGTGACTATTTTCTGATGCAAATCTATGTGCATTGTTGGAGAGTCACTCTGACAACCTCTCATATAAGCTGTGGAATCAATTGTTGATAACATTAGGTTGCTTGTAGTTTCAAATGAAACGTGTTTTCTCACTCATGCATATACTGCAAATTCAGAAAAAAATGATTTTGTTTAGGTGCCTTCCAAAATGATAGAAAGTATGGCTGGAGAAGACCTGGGGAGTATTTTAGTTTTAGGCTGTAGATGCTTGTAAGCTGTTTATATCAGGGTTTTTCACAGATATTTGACAATATCATGAATTAGAACACTATTTCTAGATATTAATGTTGACCTTAAAGTAAATCAAACATAAATATTAATGTGGTGTGAGAGTGGTGTTTTACAATATTTTATTTGTTTTCAATGAATAAGTGATTAGGAGACTGATTTATTTCTTTGCTTTTCCATGTTTACTGTCAGTGTGGTTCTTGGCAGGGATGAAGGAGAAGTAGAAATTTGTTATTGTACTTTGTATTCAGGACAAAATAATTCATTTTCATGGATGCCCTTTTCTGATAGGTCAAAGGAAACAGACTGGCAGCCTTATTTCACTACACGACTTGTTGATGACTTTGGCACTCATCTTCGAGTTTTCAGAAAAGCTCAGCAAAGAATAACAGAGAAAGGTGATCAGATGAAAGGTAATGTAATGATTTAAATATTTTTTGCTTTGAGTCTGAGTAGGCAGGTATCTTACATGTGTGAAATAGTTAGCTTTATTTTATAATTCAAGTTTACTCTCAAGTTTCTATCTTTACAAAAAAGTATGTTTCTCTTTATTTTCTTTTGTTTAGACCAAGCCGAGGAACTTGTAGATACATTCTTTGAGGTTGAAGTTGAAATGGAAAAAGAAGTCTGTCGTGATCTAGTCTGCACTTCTCCCAAAGATGAAGAAGGTCTCTCAATATTATCTTCTGAAGCTATTTTAGTATAGCAGACTAAAATACAGTTGTGTTAACAATATGAAATATACTGAAATCTTAGCATGTGTCTTTCAAAGCTATACTATAATGGTGTACATATGTAGCTATTCTTCTTTTCATTGGAAGAATTTTAAGGTAGAAATATGTTTTCTGGGAGGCAGGGAATGGCTTTGCAGATTCTTATTGCTTTTTCTTAGATCTGCTTTCCTTATCATTACTCCATAGTCTTCATTAAAAAAATCAGTTTATCTTTTTGGGCAAAGTGTGAAGGAGGGGGAAAAAGATCCCTGTATGTGTTAAATAAGGAAAATACGTTGGAGTTAGTTTTTTGGTTCTTGGAATTTGGCTTTCTTTTGTCTTGGTTTTGAGACTGTAGATCTATCTCAGGTTTACATCAGTGCTGCTTATATTCAGTCTGGAAGGTGTTACTGTGATGCTTGGAGTATAAGAATATATGTGACTGTGTAGTTGAATTTCATTTTAAGGATTTATCTGTTGGCTTTTATGATATCAGATAAGATGTGAAATAATATAAAATTGTGCTGAGTGTTTTTTGGGTGGGTTTTTTTGTTCTCTCTCTCTAGGATTCCTAAGGGATCTGTGTGAGGTTTTACTGTATATATTGCTACCTCCTGGAGACTTCCAGAACAAGATCATGCGATACTTTGTCAGGGTAAGTACAGACTCTAAAAGCCATCCCAATTCTTTGGTTTAACGCCATCAAAAATTTTAGATCTGAGCTGCTCTTCTTATTTTATTCTGTAGAATTGATCTAATTTAATATTAGGTTATTTTAAATGTACAACCTTCAAGTATTTAATAGCAGAGAACAGTTTGAGTGAAATGTTGAAGTTTCTTTTAGCTCTGGCAACATTAGAAAAGCATGATAAAATGGAGGTTGTTTTTCTTGAGATATTAACATCTAACTTTAATTGGAAGGGAATGTGCTAGTGCCTTTTGAATGTTTTCTGTAATTATTCATCTTTTATTTAGCCTCTACACAGTGATTTTTAAATTATTGCAGTTGTCTTAGCTTTATTCATAAACGTATAAAAAGACTTATTATATTTTGTTTTTCAGGAAATCCTCTCCCGAGGAATTCTTCTTCCATTAATAAACCAGCTCAGTGATCCTGATTATATTAATCAGTATGTCATATGGATGGTAAGATTTATAATGTTTAAGAGGAATGGTATTTCCAGAATACGTTCATATAAAGCTTTACTTATGTTTCCTGTAATCATGGCAGATAGATACCTGGTAGAAAAGTTACCAATGGATATATTGGCAGAGGTAGTGAATTTACGGCTGTTGTACTACATTTCT